CTATGAGAGAAACCACAATTCGCTTCTAAGATTAATATACTATAGTACTTTTTATATGATTTATTTTGAAGGAGTTTGAATGGCCTTTAATCCAGCAATAAATAGCGTAGTCGTTTTCTGGCTGTAGATTCGCGTGGCAGCGATAGAGCCCATTTCTTTAGTGCTGTTAGTATCACTGAACTCACCACCAGCAATGCTCCCAAAAGCGAAAACCCGGTTGGAGTTTCACCAAAGAACATTATTTGCCATATAAATGCGAAGACAATATCTGCACAGCGTGCTATAGCCACTGGTCCAGCTTGTTCCACTTGTAGCGACAATGTAAGCAATATTTGGCCCAAAAAGCTAAAAATACCTAGAACCACAACTAGCCAACGATCGTGACCACATGCCGGCCAACACAAGGCGCCAATCGAGCCGCACACAATGAAAGTGTAGACAAGCGCAAAAGCACCAAAATTTGTCATTATAACAGAGAAATGCAGTCCTTTAAGGGCTCGCAGGAGTATGTATACATTGGCACCAAATANGCTATAGCCACTGGTCCAGCTTGTTCCACTTGTAGCGACAATGTAAGCAATATTTGGCCCAAAAAGCTAAAAATACCTAGAACCACAACTAGCCAACGATCGTGACCACATGCCGGCCAACACAAGGCGCCAATCGAGCCGCACACAATGAAAGTGTAGACAAGCGCAAAAGCACCAAAATTTGTCATTATAACAGAGAAATGCAGTCCTTTAAGGGCTCGCAGGAGTATGTATACATTGGCACCAAATAATGTGGACGATATGGCAGCAACTGGACCCCAGATATCATAGGTTTTCCCTGAAAACCGTTCAGTCTCCATTGAAGGCGCGGCGTCACCAAAAACGAATGGTGGCCGTGTGATGAGAACTACGCCGACCAGTGTTAGTACGATAGTTACGATGTTGAAAAAACTGCATTGTTCTTTGAGAAAAACGCGGGCAAAAATCGCTACAAATACTGGTGTCGAAAAAATGATAACACTGGCGTCGGCAAGTGGCATGTGGCGGAAGGCGTAAAAACTTAGCATTAACCCTGTGGTGCCCATAAAACAGCGTAGTAACAATATAACACGCTTGCCTTCGGGAAACACTGGATGGCGCGTGTACACGACAATAGGTATTGCGGGAAGTAAGACACCGATAAATCTGTAAAACAATACACACCATATCACAATTAAAATTTGATTTATAAAAGTCTTACTCACCGAAACGAAGCAAGTTCCATTGGATTCACATCCACCAATCCTTTAACAATTACTGAGCATAGTGAGAAGAAAAGCGAGGAGAGAGTAGCTAGTATAATACCCAAGTAGGGGCAGTTTAGAGAGGATTTGAGACGGGTAAGTAGCTTGTGTGAAGTTTCGCCATGGCGAAACCCGTCCACAAACTGATGCAGTTCCAAATTTTCCGGCATCGTTGTTTGTTTAAAAATTTCCAGCGATTTTTCTCTGGCAGGCTTCAACTAATTACGATGCACTCCAGCAGTGACGTTGCAAATAGGCATTTCTATTCCCAGCAAATCTATGTATTTTAAAACCAAAAACATATTTTTAATGTAAAAGATAAAATAAAATAAAAACATTTTACATCGTATTTACAGCTGCTGGCCTGTGGTGGGTGCTATTGTTGCCGCAGTTGGAAAAATCGATTTTCCGTGCAGTTTTACACAGATTTCACAGTTCGAGCATGCAATGTTTATTCGATGTGGTCTTAAAATTGCAACTTAACGAGAACCTGCACAGTTTTTCCAATTGTAATTAATTTTATAAACATTTTTACTTTGCTCGAGAATTTATCCTCAAAATTAGACAAAATTCGTATGACTTCCGCATCCTTAGCTTTATTTCCCATTGAGATGTGAAAGTGATGAAGTGAGAACCGATTATGAAATTCACGCTTTTTGTAACCGGTTTACTCCGAAAATGTATACGTTTTCATAGATAAGAATATTTTCATGTAATAAGGTCGGTGTCAAGGCGAATTTATATAAGGTGGTGTTGTTTAATCAGCTGTGTNGTGATGAAGTGAGAACCGATTATGAAATTCACGCTTTTTGTAACCGGTTTTCTCCGAAAATGTATACGTTTTCATAGATAAGAATCTTTTCATGTAATAAGGTCGGTGTTATGCAGAAATTTTGTTGGGCAAACTGCGTGCAATTGTTATTGCAGCAAACTCGGAGTNATTGTTGTATTTGTTGAATCGATACCACCTTATATGAATTCGCCTTGGTCGGTGTTATGCAGAAATTTTGTTGGGCAAACTGCGTGCAATTGTTGTTGCAGCAAACTCGGAGTGAGCNGCTCGAGAATTTATCCTCAAAATTAGACAAAATTCGTATGACTTCCGCATCCTTAGCTTTATTTCCCATTGAGATGTGAAAGTGATGAAGTGAGAACCGATTATGAAATTCACGCTTTTTGTAACCGGTTTTCTCCGAAAATGTATACGTTTTCATAGATAAGAATCTTTTCATGTAATAAGGTCGGTGTTATGCAGAAATTTTGTTTGGCAAACTGCGTGCAATTGTTATTGCAGCAAACTCGGAGTGAGCGAGTTTGGCGACTCTCACAGCAAACTAGTTTTGTTTGGTCAAACTGCAGCAAATTCGGTGTAGTCATATATAAAAATTTTAGACAATTGTTGCTATACACAAAAATTGCCGTGAT